ATCTCTACAAAGATTTGGTCTACAAAGAGAGTTCCAGGACAGCCAGGGCTACATACCTTGTCTCAAAAATAAATGAACAAACAAACAAACAAACGTTTCCAGGTATAGAACTATTCATGCAAGCAATTGTAGAAGAAAACAGAATTAGAGTATCAGTTACTGTTTGAATATGAAAAGTCCCCTCACATGTCGGTGACCTGATCTCTACCTAGTAGACTATTTTGTAAGTGTTACAAAGTGGGAGCTAACTGAAGTAGGTCAATGAAAGCTGTGCTCAGCCATGGTCTCTTCCTTTGACTCCCTTTGTTTTCTGACCACCACGAGATAAGCAGCACTAGTTCTCCCTGTCCTTAATGGTCTTTCTCACCAGGCCCAGAAACAATGGAGCCAGTTGAAGCTTCTGAAGCCATGAGCCAAAATTCCTTCATTCAAATTCTCACGTGTGTGTGTGTGTGTGTGTGTGTGTGTGTGCATGTTTATGTAGTGCAGTTACACACTTGCTATGGATGCCCAGAGGAGTCAATGGAAAACCTTAGGTATCACTCCTCACATTCTACAGTTTGAGTCAGAGTATCTTTTTGTTATGTTGTTTTGCTATTTGAGACAGGGTTTCTTTGTATAGCCCTGTCTGTCCTAGAACTAGCTCTGTAGACCAGACTGGCCTTGAACTAACAGATATCCGCCTGCCTCTCAAGTGCTAGGATTAAAGGCGTAATCACCTCTGCCAAGCTCAGAATGGTGCTTTTAAAAATCATGAGGAGCTAGAGATATGCCTCAGCAGTTAAGAGCATTGGGTGCTCTTCTAGAGGACCCAGGTTCAATTCCTAGTACCCTCATGACTCACCGGAGTTTGTAATGCTAGTCCCAGAGGATCCAGTACCTTCTTCTGGGTCTAATGGGCACTGTACCTACATAGTGTACAAACATACATGCAAGCAAACACCCACACACATAAAATAATATGAAAAAAACTTAAAAAGCAGGAATAGTGACCAAATCTCCATTTGTCTTTTGCACAAAGGCTCTGTGTTTTTTTTTGTTTGTTTGTTTGTTTGTTTGTTTTTGAGACAGGGTTTCTCTGTAGCTTTGGAGGCTGTCCTGGAACTAGTTCTTGTAGACTAGGTTGGTCTCGAACTAACAGAGATCTGCCTGCCTCTGCCTCCGAGTACAAGGATTAAAGGCTGCACCACCACCGCCAGGCTCTGTGTGATTTTTGAAGGTGATACTGAAAGCCTGAGCTTCAGGCTTCTGTTGGTAGATGTTATTGCCTTCCCCATCTTTAAGGGGAAGAGGGGAAAAGATGAGAAGTGAGGAAATCAAAGAAACTTGGGAGTGCCAGTAAGATCTTTTCTTGGGGGGCAGTGCTTATGGGTGGAGAAGGAAGTAGGCAGAGGCAGGCAGATCTCTGAGTTCGAGGCCAGCCTGGTCTACAAAGTGAGCTCCAAGACAGCCAGGGCTACACAGAGAAACCCTGTCTCAAAACAACCAAAAAGTATCACACTGTGGAGATCAGAAGACAACCTGAGGGAGTTTATTTGGGTCCTAAAGGTTGAACTCAGGTCATCTGGCTTGGCAGCAAGTGCCTTTACCTGCTGAACTATCTCACTGGCCCTCTTCCCTACTTCTGATTATGGGATACCAAACATAAGTCAAGAAATTCCTAGAAAAGTATCAATAACAAATATCACAGGAGTTGTGATTGAATGGGTGGGTGTGACAATATTCTAGCCAACCACTGCCAGAGTTTCAAAGATGAGGTAGGCAGACAGGTGTGATAACTCACACCTGTAAATTCAGCACTTGGGAAGATTACCGCTAATTCCTGTTTTTTTTTTTATAAAGATTTTATTTATTTATCACATATACAGTGTTCTGCCTCCACGCCAGAAGAGGGCACCAGATCTCACTATTGATGGTTGTGAGCCACCATGTGGTTGCTGGGAATTGAACTCAGGACCCCTGGAAGAGCAGTTAGTGCTCTTAACCTCTGAGCCAACTCTCCAGCCCCTCCTGTCAAATTTTATACGGTAATTCTAAGCCAGCCTGGCTACAGAGCGAGGCCCTGTCCCCAAATAACAAACAAACAAACAAATAAGGGGCTGAAGAGATGATGCCTCAATTAAGAACACTGGCTCTTCCAGAGAACCTGGCTTCAATTCCCAGCACCCACAGGGTTCATAGCCATCTGCAACTCTTCCTCTGGCCCTCAACACTACCCAAACTCACATGCACATGTCCACACATACATAGTTACAAAAATTTTTAAAACAAACGCAAAAATATAAAAACAATTCCAGCTATTTAGAAGGATAAGGAGGATCACAATATCAAAGTCAGCCTAAGATACAGAGTACAAGACAGACAGTGTAACTGAGAGAGGCCAATCTCAAAATAAAAAGTAAAAAAGAGGGCTGGAAGTCAGGAAGTGGTGGTGCACACTTTAATCCCAGCATTTGGAAGGCAGAGGCAGGCAGATCTCTCAGTTTGAGGCCAGCCTGGTCTACAGAGTGAGTTCCTGGACAGCCAGGGCTACCTGTCTTGAAAAAAAAGCAACAACAAAGAGGGTGGGGCTACAGCTCAGTGGTCAGACCACTTTCCAAGTATCTACAAGGCTCAAATATAGAACTGAAAAAATGTGGTATCGGAGGAGAGCTTATGGGTGGAGAAGGAAGTAGAGAGAACAACAAGTTGACAGCAAGTTATAACAGACAATAAAGCTAACATTTACTGAAATCAGACTTTTGTCTTTGCCCTCACTGGGTTCTTAGTGCTGGGCTGTTTTACACGAAGTAGCACTGTGGCCATCTCATAAACTTATGAGACAGATGTTACTAATATGTCAGATGACGAGTTCTGTCCAGAGATGCTAAACAATTTGTCTAAGGGAATCCAGAAGCTGGCAGGTTGTGGTTCATGTTTGCTGGACTCTGAAGTCCCATCACGTGTGTGTTGGGGTATGCTGTGCATAAAGGAGATGGTATGTGTGAACGGCAAGGGTCCCTACATGCTACCCTAAAGGTCTGGATGACGTTCCACAGGGGAACCCATTGCTGAAGAATGCCCTAGTATCTTTATTGTCGATGATGGAGTATCTGCTGGAGACACAGGAGCACAGGTTCCCAGAAACTCTTCAGGGGAGCAGGCAGCAGCTGGAGTAAGGAAAGCCAAAAGAAGAGGCAACAGTGTTCACCTTTACATTTACCTAAATAAGGCTCTTCCTCAAAGAAAAAGCTAGACATCTTTGTAACAGGAAAAAAATCTTCCTCAAGTTCCAGTCAATCCACAGAACTCACATTAAGTGCCAACTAGGTGGTAGGCTGTGCCCCAGGCGGCTTCTCTCTCTCTCCTCTTCCAACAGTGAAGCCAGACTAAGTTTTGTGGCTGCTCCCACAACCCAGCATCTTGAAGTATCCTCTCCACCCCATTTCTGCTCATACAGTGAAAGGAAGCAAATTTCCTTCCAGGTTAACATCAAAACCATAAAATCTACTACTGCACTTTAACATCATTAAGTTTTCTATTTTAACATTAGTTTTCACTTGACAGGTCTAGTTTTCAAGGTAGACATTAACTGAATGAGCTCAACTTAACTCCAGAAGTATTTGATAAGAAGTTTCTAAATTGGGTAATCACCAAGCGTCCTCCTACCAGCTATAAGTACCTTTCTTCAAAGAAATCATTTAGGACTAAGAGACGGGAACTCACATCCCCATCCCTCACTACCACCAGGTTGGAAGGTCTGGAATTACGGACATCTCTAACTTAGTAAATTTGCTAAGGGCCCGAAAGTCATCTTACTAAATTTAGAGTAGTGGTTATCAATCTCTAATGCTGTGACCCTTTAAATACAGTTCCTTGTGTTGTGGTGGTCACCCAAACATAAAATTATTTTCATTGCTACTGTTATGAATCGTAATGTAAATATCTGTGTTCTACTATGGTTTTAGGCGACCCCTGTGACCCCAAGGGGGGTCGCGACCCACATATTGAGAACCACTACTCTAGATTTGTGTTATGAAAGGAGCTTCTGTCATTCTTGTGTAAGTAACTATTTGTCCCAACAGGCATTACCACTCGCTGAGGGGTGGGTGCCAAATACTTGTGCACGAACTTCAGATTTACAGGGCTAACCTCTTGCTTTCCCAGCATTCCATCTGGAAGACACTGCACAGCCAGCTGTTCGGAGTTGGGAGGAACCTCTCACCAAACTGGCTTAGCAATTCCCCAGGAAGGCTCAACCCCAGTCCAACACCAAAACACAATGATTCCAAAGACCTTGGGGGAGGGGGGAGGCTTTTCCACCTAACTTCCCTATGCATCGCCACCCGACAGGCCCTGGGTTGGGCCAGGGTGAAGAGGCTCGTAGGATGACACCTCGGGGGCTCATCCTTCTAAATTACAGGATTGGCTCAACGAGGTTAGCGGCAACCTAAGCAGAGGCAAACCACTGCGGTTTTTAAAGTCTTGTTTATGTCTGGGCCCCGCGCAGAGCCCTATCTACAGGTAGACTCCCTTCTGACATGCCCGCCATCCGCTCGCGGATTCCCAGAGGCCTCGCAGGCCTTCGAGACCCTCCGCTTCCGGCTTCCCGGCTCAGGGCGGTCTCCATTCTGGCCTTTCAAGGCCCCTCAGACAGCCCGTACCCGCGGCTCACCCTCCAGAGTCTCGCACTGCACCAGGTTGAGGTAGTCCGCCTGGCTGAGCACCCCGGCCTTCAGGCCGCGTACTAATCCCTCCAAGTAGCCATTGTCCACGTTGAAATAAAGCTCCGGGAAGAACGACATGGCTGCGGCAGGGGCGGCGGGGGCGGCGGGGGCGGCGGGACCAGAGAGCCCTGATCGGCACGCACGCAACCCGACTTCGAGATCAGCTGACACGGCGCCCGCAGAGGGCTGTCAAGTGCGTCAGGTGACGCAAAGGGTCTCACGTGACCACAGCGGGGCTGGCTCTTAAATGTGTCCAGCTTCCGGGTAGCCTGGCGCGCATGCCCTCCTATGGGCGCCTGCGCACTAAGGCGAGGCGGGCCTTCGGCGCCTAGCGGAGAGCAAGGCAACAGCAATGCTGGAGGCCGACCGCGTGGTGGTGCTAGTATCCGCAGGATTCGAGCGGGGCCCTCAATTTAGTTTTCCCGAGTTAGAAACTCGTGTCTGGCTCTGCTTGGAACCTATCAGGTAAAGGTGAGCGTGTGTGCTGTTCTTTACGCTGCCGAGGCTGTCTCATACCACACGGAAACCGAGGTCCAGAGGAAGAGGATTGGTTTGAAACCAATGTTTAGCCACCAGCTAGACTTTACACCCCGTAAGCTGCGCTGCGCCCGCTTTCCCTGCATTTGTTGCACTAGATTCTCTGAGGCTGGCGTGTGGCCTCCTGCTTTCCCCACAGGGACCTGGTGCCTTAAAAATCGCTCGTATACCGTGGCTCAAAAGATGGAATTGCCTAGACCCTGAGGTTAGGTTACAGTTGTAGTGTGTGTAGTTACGGCATAACGACGCCCCCTACCCTCCAGTGAGACCAACAACCCTTCGACAGCCACACTCAAAATAATCACAGCTTTAGGGTTGGTCCCGTCTTTTATTCGCGACCCAGCCTTTGCCCAACATCCGTTGACTAGGTGCGGCTGCAGAGATTCGTGGCAGGGCCCAGCTTGCGGCAGTAGCAAAAGGCGTTGAAGAAGCGGCAGTAGCACGTGGCGCACGGGTCGCAGCAAGGCACTTGTTGTCCCAGGCAGGACTCGTGCAGCCTTACACAGCGACGCGGAGAACGAGACTCGCGATTCTGTGGATCTAGCACCTGCATTCATAGAAAAACAAGAACGTCTGGCCGTAGGTTCAGGAAACTCTCCCACCCCGATCCCAGTAGGACGGCAGTGGAGTGTGGGGCGGGCGAGGTCTACAGTTCTGCCCAGGTTGGATGGTCCGGAAGTGGGCAGAGAGGATTGTATCTGATGCTCCCTACCTGCTACTTTCTCCCTTTCCCTGTAGAGTTACCTCCGCCAACGCTTCTGCCTTCTGCAAAAGAGCCTCTTCCGCTCGGTCTGCAATTGTCCTCTTCCGGCCATTCAGACTTAGACCTGGGTCAGAGGACGGGAGGGCCACACCCACCATGAACCAAGTGCACACCTCCAGGGTTGGGACTGGGACTCGGGAATGAGGGCTTAGTCCTTACAGGCAGATTTGTGACCAGCAATTGTCCTCACCCCACACATCCCCAACCTGGCCATACTCACCTGGGAATTGTGGGAACAGGGCCTGGCCAGGCCTTCTGATGCCTTCCAGGGGTTCCAAGCCCATCTGGACCCCCAGCGTGGGAGGCAGTGCCAGCAGCAGCAGGGTACAGCTCAGCAGTGTTACAGTCAGCATGCCTGGCTCAGCAGGAAAACCCCCCATTTAGTCTCCCCTCATCCTTGGAATACCCTACAAATGCCAAGAGAGATGAGCCCAGAAAGTCAGAATTCCTGTCTAGCCTTTGCACTTACCTGTACTTGCGGATCCTTGCCCAAAGAGCTGCCCGCCACTTGTGCCCTGAGCTTATATGGCAGGGTCTAATAAAGGGCCCACACGTGACTGCTTCCTACAGCCACGGCTTGAGGGGCCCTTCCTGAAAAAATGGGACACAGTTTGGCTTTCTCCCTAGAACCTGGACCATTGGGGAAAGTACCTATCCAATTTGGCATAAGCCTCCAGGAACCAATTAAATTTTGGGAACAAAATAGGGTGTCCAGACCCTAAAATTTCCGTAAGACCAGAACCTAGGCATGGGTCAGGCTAGAACCATTAGCAATAATGAGGCAGGCGGCCCTGTGATCTTAATATAATTTCTGGCCCCACAGATGTTCACTTAGCCTCTTTATAGCATGTTGTTTTCCTTGCTTCCAGGAACTTTGATCAAGGACACCAAAGGGCCAGTGAGTGTCACCAGCCACGAGTGGAGTAAAAAACTAGACCCAAGGTTTCTTTGGAAGACAAGTCAAAAAAGCTCTCCCAGCTAAAACCACTCTCTCCATCCCTACCTCATGTTTCCCTTCTTTAAGACCCCCACTCCTATTCCTCTCCCCAAGCCCCGTTCCACCTAGGGTTTCTGTAAGCCAAGGGAACAGAACGCACTGTTCCCAGGGTGGGCACACGGCTTCAGAGTAAAAAGCTTTCAGCCTGCCTGCTTCATTAGTGGTAATGGCAGCTCCCTTCCTCCCTGTGTTGTCGGGACTCTGCCCACGCTGGTCTCATCAGCTTGGGGACATGGTGAGGACTGTCCATTTGTGAATGTAGCAGGCCCCATGGAACCCTTTTTGTTTGTTTTGTTTTGTTTTTGAGACAGAGTCTTACTATGTAAGACCAGGCTGGTCTCCAACTCACAGAAATCCACCTGCCTCTACCTCCTAAGTGCTAGGATTAAAGGTATTTACCACCACATTTGGTAGGGTTTTTGATGTTGTTTTTGCATGCATTATGTATGTGCACCATTTGCATGCCTGGTGCCCAAGGAGGTCAGAATAGGGTTTTTGGATCCCCTGGGCCTGGAGTTATGGATAGTTGTGAACCACCATATAGGTGACAGATAGGAATAGAACCTGGGTCCTCTGCAGAAGCATCAAATGTTCTGAACCTCTGAGACAACTCTTTAGCTCCTTGGTGGGCTTTTAAAAAAATCATTCATGAGGCTGGAGAGATGGCTCAGTGGTTAAGAGCACTGGCTGATCTTCCAGAGGCCCTGCGTTCAATTCCCAGCACCTACATGGCAGCTCACAACTGTCTGCCACTCGAGGATCCCTCACACAGACATACATACAGGCAGAACATCAATGAAATAAAAATAAATTAATTTTAAAAAATCATTCACATGTCCATTTGGAAAAGGAATACAGGATGAATCATCGTGGAGACCCCAGAACAATAAGAAAAGCTGAAAGAATTGTAAGGATATAGGCCAGTTCATATGAACTCTTCTGGTGGTAGTAGTTGCCTGAGAAAATCCTCCCACCAGGAATAAAAACTACAGACATTGATAGCCAGGGTCCGGCTGGCATTGTGTTCACCTGCAGGTGACTCAGGGAACAGTCCTCAGAGCTCAGGGTCTACTTTCTCCTTCCCAAGTTGGGGCCATGAGGAACTGGGGAAAGCCCCTTTAGGGGAGTAGTCCCTGAACTCACCCTTTAGGACAGCAAAGGGCAGCCCTTATTTCTCCCCTGAGAATAGTGTAGGCAGCCACTGAATAGGAAGTCACTGATGAGGCTGTCACTGAGTAGACCTATTTGGAAGCTGACCTGGAAGTCTGGTGCCCCACTCCAGGACTTTGTCTTCTCAGGGGTATCAGGGGGAGAAGTAGGACTATATACCAACTGCGTCACTTGGAGCTCAAAATCAGCAGGACATGAAGAGTCCATGAGATTCTTTCCCAGATCTTGTTTGTTTATTTACTATTTGGGTTTGGTTTGGTTTTTTTGTTTTGTTTGTTTGTTTTTGTTTTTGTTTTTGAGACAGGGCTTTTCTGTGTAGCCCTGGCTATCCAGGAACTTGCTCCAAAGACCAGACTGACCTTCTGTAGGGAGTGATCATTGTTATTTAGGACCTCTTGTAAATATTGCCAGTCTTTTTTAAGAACAGTTCATTGTGATGGGGCTGGAGAGATGGCTCAGAGGTTAAGAGCACTGCCTGCTCTTCCAGAGGACCTGAGTTCAATTCCCAGCAACCACATGGTGGCTCACAACCATCTGTAATGAGATCTAGCACCCTCTTCTGGCCTATGGGCATACAGACAGACGCTGTATACTAAATAAATAAATCTAAAAAATGTTTGTTAAAAAAGAAGAACAGTCCATTTTGTTAGAAGAATAGCTACCTTTAGTCCCAATCAACCTTCTTCCCCCTCCCCAGCTTCCTGACAAGTAGAACTTGGGCTCACAGGAATGGCTGATGGCAAAAAAGGAAACATTCCACAATTAGATCACTTAACAACCCCTCCTTCTGCGACCCTTCACCTTGCCAACACCTGTTATCTGCTCACCTTCTAAGAACATCCTGTGGCCTGGTTACTAGGCAACGACCCCTCTCCTTTGATTGCTCCTCCCTACCTACTTTCCCACCCTAACCGCTATATAACAGGCCTGAGAAAAATAAAATCTTGCAGCTTGATCAGCCATGTTGTGCTGTCCGTTTCTCGTGTCTCTTGTCCTGTCATTCCAGGTTCCCATGGGCTAGACCTTCATTGTGCCCTGCTGGCCAGGGCAGCCTTGAACTCACAGAGATCCACCTGCCTCTGCTAACTAAGTGCTGGGATTAAAGAAGTGTACCTCCACTACCTGGCTCCCAAATCTTTTCTTCAGCCTCTATTACTGGAGATTCTGGCTGACAACATTAAGCAGGGGCAGCTTGTGACTTAGAAAGGTGCACTAATGAGCTGAGGCACACTTGCAATCACAACACTCTGGAGACAGAGGCAGGAGGATTGCTGAAATGGGGACTCTGGAAACTTGGCCACATCTACTCAGCACCTATCCTCAGAACAGCTCTTTATGTACCCACATGGGCCACTCTGAATGTCAACTGTCTTCACCTGGTGGTATGTGCACAAGTATATTAGCCCATTTGGCAGTGGAAGACAAGGGCTATGATGCTTATGGAGAAATCCATGATCCTGGTCAGGCCCAGTGGAAGAGACCCAGTCATCAAAACACAGTGAGACAGGTGATAGGCAGCAAGGTGGTGTCCAGCAGCAGGGACATTTAGTTAACAAAGTCACATGCTACATTAATAAGGTTCTCTGGTAGTAGATACAATCCTACACTTGGAGCCTCAGAAGCTTTGGAATCAGCAGGACTACTATCAAACTCTTCTCTGACTTCTCCGCATTCTAAAGGGAGTAAATGTCAGGTCTGTTGATGCATCAGGGTCCAGCAGACACTGAAGAAATAACAGGACTTTACCCCAGAAATACAGAAGGAACAGAATTCATCCAGTGTGGAGATCCAGAATAATTATCTGTTGTTTGCCATTAGATAAAAGAATTATCTTTACAATAAAGAACTTCCTAAATGACAAATGAAAATTGTATATTGAGCATAAATAATTTGAAAAAATGAAATACAGAAAATTAAAATGGACCAGGCGGTGGTGGTGCACGCCTTTAGTTCCAGCACTTGGGAGGCAGAGGCAAGTGGATCTCTGTGAGTTAGAGGCCAGCAAGTCTATAGACTGAGTTCCAGGTTCAGGCTCTGAAGTTACAGATAAACGCAGTCTTGAAAAAAAAAAGAAAGAAAGAAAGGATATTTCACTACAAATGTCAACTTTTAAAAAATAGTGTCATAAGTCATGTGCAGTGGCACATACCTGTAACCCTACAAGGAGGAGAGGGGTCATGACTTAGAGGCCAACCTAAGCTACATTATAAAATGCTGGGTTTTTAAAAAAATCTAAGTCTCTAGGTATGCCTTTAACCCCAGGAGGCAGAGGCAAGCAGATCTCTCTGTGAGTTCAAGGCCAACCTGAACAGTGAGGGCTATATAGAGAGACCCTGTCTCAAACAAACTTCAACAGGCTAAGTACTTTGACTCAAGAATGTTCAAGGACCTGTTGAGACAGTTTGGGCACTCACTGCAGGGAAGGCTTCCTAGGGAAGGAGACCTTTCTTTGGTCATGAAACTTGAGTAGGAGTTGAGGAGGGCTGGGGCAGTATAAGTTTCTTGGATTCATAACCAACACACTGTTTACCACTCAGCATGGTTAACACTGCTTGACCCATACTCTGTCTCAAACCTGGTTCCCTCCCAAAGGCCCAGCCCAATAAATAGTTGACTTTTTGTCTTTCAGCTGTAACTGGGAAGCCATCCATCCTCCAAGGTTCAGCTAATGAGTCATCAGCAAACATCTGTAGCCATCACTCCATTGTACAACTTCTGTGACTATGCATGGGTGCAGACAACCTGCCACAGAAACCAGTATCATCCATATATGCAAGCAGAATCCAGAGGAAGAAATAAACATGTTTACACCCTTGTACTCCAATCCTCTTTGCCCTTCAGTGTTCCCCTAAACATGGCTTGAATTACTTGTGATAATTATATATATATGTATATATATAGACACATATATAATCAATCTATGATAGATAGATCAATAGATTGATAGAGGTAGAGTAACTTTTCTATCTGTGTGAGCAGGTGTGCATGTGCCCATGGAGGCCCAGGGTTGAACTCCTCCTTGGTCATTCATTGAGGCAGTCTCTTAACTGAACCCAGAGCTCACCCACACACTAGTTTAGCTAGCCAGATTACTCTGTGGATCACATGTCTCTGCCTTCCAAGCACTGAAGTTACAGGTGGCCTGTCATGGGAACCTGACATTTATATGGGTTCTAGTATCTAAACTTTGGTCCTCACACTTACACAAGTGCTCTAACTATTGAGTAGTCTCCCCAGCCCCTACCTATATTAATTTTCGCAAATAAGCAATCTTTGATTTAATTCAATTTATTTTATTTTCATTTATTTGGTGACAGGGTCTTTATGCAGCCCTAGCTGGCCTGTAACTCACTACATAGACCAGGTTGTTCTTGAACTCACAGAGATCCTCCTGCCTCTGCCTCCTGAGTGCTAGAATTAAAGGCATGCACCACCATACCTGACTCTATTCTATTTTGAGACAGTCTCAGTATATAACTCTGGTTAACCTTGAACTCACAGAGATCTGTCTGCCTCTCTGCCTCCCAAAAGCTGTAATAAAAGGTGTATGCTCGCCGGACTGTGTTGGCGCACGCCTTTAATCCCAGCAATCAGGACCCAGAGGCAGGCAGATCTCTGTGAGTTCGAGACCAGCTTGGTCTACAAGAGCTAGTTCCGGGACAGCCTCCAAAGCCACAGGGAAACCCTGTCTCGAAAAACCAAAAAAAAAAAAAAAAAAAAAAAAAAAAGTGTATGCCACTACCACACCACATACAGCCTCAATTCAATTTTTTACTCAATTTTTGTTACAATTAACATCTTCTGCCTTTCTTTTTCATTGTGAAAAAGCATTTTAAGAAAAAATTTACTTAACAAAAAAATTTTTTTTTTATTTTCTGCCTTTCTAATGTGTCCTGCTTTCCTTAGTGCTAGGGTTGGAGTATAGTTTGTCTCCCCAGCCCAGGTTCTTGTGGTTAATGTCTAACCTCCAGAGGGCAGTACTGATGCAGTACTGAGGGGTAGTAGAACCTTTGAGAAGGACCTAGTTGGGGCTTTAGGTCACTGAGGAGCTACCTTCGAAGCCCCTGTAAGTTCCTTGCCATCGGTTTCTTAGAAAAGGAGCAAGCGTGACTCCACTCAGGTCTCTACTGCCTACGGTGTTATGATAAAGCTCGAGGGGAACCTTGGCGGATTCCATGGCGGGCGAGGGTGACTAAGGCGGGGGACAAACATGCCAGGCAGACAGAGCATAAGTGAGACGTTTTATTAGAAAGGGAAAGGGGAGGGGGGAGGGAAAGAGAAAAGAGGTAGAGAGACACAGAGACAGAGAGGACAGAAGACAAGAGGGAGACAGGAAAAGTCTTGTCTGCCCCAGACGAACAGCAGGAAAGAGTGAGAAATCTGTCTTTTTTTTTTTTTTTTTTTTTTTTTTTGGTTTTTCGAGACAGGGTTTCTCTGTGGCTTTGGAGGCTGTCCTGGAACTCTGTAGAACCAGGCTGGCCTCGAACTCACAGAGATCCGCCTGCCTCTGCCTCCCGAGTGCTGGGATTAAAGGCGTGCGCCACCAACGCCCGGCTGAGAAATCTGTCTTTTAAAGGGGTCCTTTGCACCTGGGTGCAGACTACACAGCCACGGAACCCTGGGCTGACCCGGGCACTGCCTGAGTGCGTTCTGCCAGGTGACAGAGGCAGGCCAGCGTAGTGCCTGAAGCCTTACATATTGGAGAGGTGACTGTGGCCCGGCCTGAACTCCAGCAGTCTTGCCAGGTCTGCAATTTGCCCCATAGTCTCTTCAGCCTTTAAAACTGTGAGCTAAGTAAGCCTTTTGGTTTCTAGTAGAATTATTTATTCTTTTATAGCTTCATACATATATGCAACATGTTTTGATCATATCCATCCTCTCACTCCCCTGGAACTTCCCTAACATGTCCCCCTCAAGAACATTTAATAACCCAGTGTCCAATTAGTGCTGCCTGAATGCCCATGACACCCATGAAGGAAAAGAACTCTCTCTCTTCGGTAGCTCTTAACCAGGTCCCAGGTAGCCGCCACGGTCTTGCACCCCTGATCCTCCTGCCCCCACACCCCGAGTACTAAGATCATAGCCGCACCGTTATACCCAGCTAAACTTTCCCCCATAAGTGTCCTGCTTCAGGTATTTTAGAATAGTGGTGAAAAGCGCTTCTACTACTATTGGTTCTCTGAGGTTCTTGCTAATTTTTGATACAGGGTCTTAGGCTGTAGTTTAAGCCAGTCTAGAACTCATTATGTAGTCCAGGCTGACCTCAAACCTCCCAAGTGCCGGCATTCTAGGTATGTGCCACTATACTGGGGGGGGGAGTTTCAAGGCAGGGTTTCTCTGTGGTTCCATCCCCTGCACCCACAACCATCTGTAATTCCAGTTCCAAAGGCCCTAGAAGAAACGGTACATAGGCAAAACACTCATACACATAAAATGAAAAATAAATCTAAAGTAATTTTAATATTTTACTTCATTTATTTACTTATTGGTGTTGGTTGGAAAGCAGTGTCTATGTGTGTCATGGTGCAAATAAGGGGATCAGAAGACAATTTTTTCATAAGCCTGACATGGTGGTGCACACCTTTGATCCCAGCACTGGGGAGGCAGAGGCAGGCAGATCTCTGGGAATTCGAGGCCAGGCCTGGTTTACAGAGCAAGTTCCAGGACAGCCAGGACTGTTACACAGAGAAACCCTGTCTCGGGATCCGCCTGCGGCTTTCCTCAGTTGCGGGACTCGCTAGCTCCGCCCGCCCCTTGCGTGCTCCGGTCTGCCACTAGGAATGTCTGTCTGGGGCGGTGGAAATAAGTGCGGGGCCGGTGCGAGGACCGTGTACCACGCCGAGGAGGTGCAGTGTGATGGGCGGAGCTTCCACCGCTGTGGGAAGTCTTAAATCTACAACTCTGAGAAAGAACTTTGGGCCCAGCCGGGCGTTGGTGCGGAGCACGCCTTTAATCCCAGCACTCGGGAGGCAGAGGCAGGTGGATCTCTGTGAGTTCGAGACCAGCCTGGTCTACAGAGTGAGTTCCAGAACAGGCTCCAAAACAATACAGAGAAACCCTGTCTCGAAAAAACAAAAAATAAAAAATAAATTAAAAAAAAAGAACTTTGGGCCCAAGGGGATTTGGCTATGGTCAAGGAGCAGAAGCCCTTGTTCATGCTCAGTGATGGTGTAAACCCAGAACGAAGCACCACATGCAGAATCGTCACTACCAAAACACAGACGACCTTATGGCACTCACTACTGTGACACTCGACCATCATTCGGCACTGCGCTGGTTGGTTTTTCACTAGCATTTAAGAGCATTTCCTTTACATTGGGAATAAAGTTTTGGCTTGAAAAGGAAGAAAGAAGGAAAGAAAGAGACAGAGGAATAAAAAGAATCTTTTCTCATATCTCCTGATTGCAGTTTCCCTTCCCTGTACTCCTCCAAGTTCCTCCCACTTCCCCTCCCCTCCCCTCCCTTTCTGTCTCTTATTAGAAAAGGCGAGGCTTCTAAGAGACAACACCCAAACATGACACAATTAAATACAATGAGAAAAAACAAAACTATCATAGCCAGGCTGAACAAGGCAACTCAAAAGAAGGAAAGAGTCCATGAGAAGGCACAGGAATCAGAGACCTACTGGTTCACACATTCAGCAGTTCCATAGAAATATTAAACTGAAGTCGGGCAGTGGTGGTGCATGCTTTTGATCCCAGCACTTGCGAGACAAAAGAGGCAGGCGGATCTCTGTAAATTCAAGACCACCCTGGTCTATAAAACGAGTTCCAGGACAGGTTCCACAGCTACACAGAGAAACCCTGTCTCAAAAACACAAAAAGCTAATCTGAAAGCTATTAATATTTATGTAGAGGGCCTGGTGCAGACCCTGTACTTGCTGC